TGGTGAATAGACTAATAATTAAACTATTCTATAATATATGAAAGTTGAATTTCTTTGAGTTACACGAGTGACCTTCTACAAGTTCTCACAACCTCCACTTAGAAAAAAACTTCGTTATTAAGGGAACACCAAAATATAATTTCGATCCGATGCATGTATTAAATTCCACCCTAAGATTTCCAACATATTCTTTGGCCTTGAAAAATGGTGGACAAACCTTTTACATTAGAAGAGCAAAAGGCTCGGGCATAGCAAAATGAACCAATGTGAATTAGCGTGAACTTCGTAATTAGTGACGGACCTACATTAAGATCACTGGTGCTCAAGCACCCATTATATTTTACCAGAATACTATATGCTAATATTGAAAACTTATACTCCTTTTGTCTCAATTTATGTGACACATTTCGTTTTACGAGAATCAAACAGTTTAAGTTTGATCGGGAATTTGCGCATGAAATCTTTAATTTTTTGAAATAAAATATATATAATTGTAAACTATATAAAAAGTACTATAAGTCATAATAATTGACAATCCAAAATATTTAAAAGATATATGAAAAATTTACACTAAAAAATAGACTTATTTGAATCTCGAAATTCGAAATGTGTCACATAAATTAGGATGGAGAGAGTAATATATATACAAAGATATTGACTTAGCACCCAAACTTAGAACACAATTCTAAATTAAATATGAAGCTATTCAAGAATCTAAATCCTTTGGTGCTAATCACACTAGGCTTTATTACAAGCGTTCACAGTATGAATCCTTACTGACCATGTCGCTCGATTTGTAACATATCATCATATAGAGGATTCAAAGTTGATCAGACACAGAAACCTCAATGGATTCTGCTCAAAATCCCAAATTTCTTTCATCTTATTTGTTCTTTGCTTTTCTTCTTGTATCCTCAAATCTCTTAACATTTTTCATTTCTACATCTTTTAACTCCTCTTGTACACTTAACCAACAAACAAATGCTCCTTCCACTGTTTTGACTAAGCCAACACCTAAATATGAAGCTATTCAAGAATCTGATACCACACAAACTGATCAAAATCTTCCATCTGAGTTCCTTGCTTTCACATCGCCACAAAAACTCCCGCGTGGATTCAACAAAAACTTTGATTCTGATGAAATCATGCCTCCGATTGGGCGTCCATGTACTCTGTTTCAAGATTTACTTCATCGTTACATGTCGTATAATGTCAATGGTTCTTGCCCTGATGATGAACTTTTAGCACAAAAGTTGCTTCTTAAAGGTTGTGAGCCACTTCCTCGACGTAGATGTCATCCAGTTGCTCCACAAGAATATGTCGAGCCTTATCCTTTTCCTGAGAGTCTATGGAGAACACCATCGGATTTTTCTGTTGTATGGACTGCGTTTACTTGCAAAAATTATGATTGTCTGGTCAATCGTGCTAAGACTCAGAGAGGATTTGATGATTGCAAAGATTGTTTTGATCTCAATGGCAGAGAGAGAAGTCGCTGGACAGCGAAAAATGGTGCTGGTCTTGACTTCTCTATCGATGAAGTGTTAGCAGTAACGAAGACTGGAACAATTAGAATTGGGCTCGATATTGGAGGTGGTGTGGCTACATTTGCTGTAAGAATGAGAGAAAGGAATGTAACAATTGTAACAACATCAATGAACCTTAACGGTCCGTTTAATAGTTTTATAGCTTCAAGAGGGGTCATACCTTTGTATGTTAGCATCTCACAAAGACTACCCTTTTTCGACAACACGTTGGATATTGTACACTCAATGCATGTGTTGAGTAACTGGATACCAGAAATACTTCTCCACTTCTTGCTTTTCGATATTTATAGGGTGTTAAGGCCTGGTGGTCTGTTTTGGCTTGACCATTTCTTCTGTGTTGGTGAGCAATTGGAGAAACAGTATGCACCACTTATCGATAGTATTGGTTTCAATAAGGTGAAGTGGATCGTGGGAAGAAAGCTCGATAGAGGTCCCGAGCTAAACGAGATGTACCTTTCAGCATTGCTGATGAAGCCATTGAAGAATTGTTGGTGACAATATTATTTTTTTCCTTTTTACTTTCATACTTGGGAAAAACTTATATCTTGCATCTGCATCTGTTGACAATTGCACTAACCGAATGAAGAAAAAATGCATTTTTCTTTTTAGAGAGATCAGTCCGTAGTATTACATTATCCTCTTTGTCTGTTGATAAACCTCACTAATTAACATAATGTTGAAAACTTGAAATGATAACTTTCACTACTGGCAAAGCACAAATTTCTGTTGGCCTTTTCATTGAAAATCGTTAAAATTGTACTCTTCTTACTGCCTTTTCATTGGAAACCTGTCGAAATTGTACTCTTACAACTTTTTCCAATGAAAAGGCAGTAAATTGACCCTTTGGAAAATCTCCCAGTGTTGAGGACTTCTTGAGGACTCGATTAGATTGAATTATACCATAACTCGGATGAATAAATCCTAGCTATAGAGGAATAAAAGGAAGAAATTCAAGCAACTCGAAAACAAGAAAACTTAAAGTGTGTATAAGAATGAGTCATAAACTCTACTAATGTTAAGTAAAAAGAAAAAATGATATGGCTCCTAATTGTCAAGTATTTATAAATTTAGACCATATTGTTCAATATAACAGGCCCTACCGGCTACCATTCAGCCAAACATCAATACCCCTTATCGTTTTGAGCTGTGGACCAATAAGGTGTTCATACCATCAGACATCTGCTGAAAATAAAGATAATACCACAAGCCTAGACCTAAAGTTGTTGTTCTGATATATGCTTAATGACAGGCCCTACTGCTGGCTTCTGACTAATCTATCGGAAACAATGCTGTACTGGTGCCTACGAATTGATCTCAGAAGATTTCCATGTGAATACAAAAAAATATTAAAGAAGTCGTAAATTTCCTTCAAGTTAAGCACAAGTAGTAGAAAGACAACACCACATGAAGTATCACATGGTATTGCCTTCTAAAATCTTTGACAAGCACTTAAATTTTTAGCAGAATAAAATACCACATAAAAACTAGACAACTATATCCAGAATTCCTAAGGTCCCATATTGAACAGCAGCACATGATTCTGTCTAGCATAGTTATTCCCGGTTGGCAACTTTAACTACAATTCAAGACTTCAGAATCTGAAGCATTTACTGTTTTATGTAAACACACTTGTTAGCAGATGCATATTGGACTGGCCAATAGCTAATAGATGATATCTAAGACATGGATGAAGATCCAAAAATCTGTTGAATGCAAGGGGTTAAGCAGCACTATAATCGATATAGTTGTACACAATTTAAGGTGCTTCTCTGACTTTGTTTTTTGGACTATTTTTTTCTTGACGTTTGAAGTTTATCCTATGGAACACCAAAGTTTGTTACTACTTGGTATGATCAAATGCATGAATTAATAGAAAGCTTTATGCATTTATTTTAGAATTTGAAGTCCATCGTTTACTTGTTTGATGGAAAGAATGAACAAGAAGAGGCTATCAGTGGTGAAGCCAGTATTTTCACTAAAGGGGTTCAAAATATAAAAAGTAAACACACGAAGAAGACAAATGGAGTTCCACATCTACTATATATATGCATAAAAATGATTTAACCATGTATAAGCAATGCATTTTTTTCGCCGAACTATCTTGGCCCTACTTGACTCTACCCCTGGAGGCTATAAAGTTGACTAAAGATCTACAAATGGAAAGTTGTGCTTGTGCTAGTAGAAGATGGAAATATTTGAAGGAAGAATATTTCTTGGTGCAAAATAGAGATATAGATCCAGAAATCTAAAGAGATAATCTTTTCAGCTAATTCATTTTGAAATGTGCTTAACATCATTTCTTGAAGTACTTGTACATATAGCACAATGCTGACACTAAAAACAAAATTTACCTTTGTAGAGTCTCCTCTTTCTCATTTCTAGGCCTATTATTATACAAAATCTCACCGGAGCAGAAAAATTTGTACCGCAATACTAATGATATCCTCAAGCGTGAAGTGAGATCAATGAATACATCCTCTTAGCAAGGTATTGTCAGATGATCAAAGACAAACTGTTCTTCTGCTTTAGCTAACACATCTTGAAATGAAGGTTGGCTCAAGTATGATACTGGCACTACGAATCTCTTCTTCTGGCTCTCTCCTACGTATACTGCACAATGACCTTTTGAAACACCTGTTGAAGTTGAAAACCTCCTAAAGATTCAAGTACCTTGAATAAGAGGAGTCATTTTAATACCAATTGTGAGATACTTTGTAACTTTAAAATTTATATGACGACCTAAAAGAAATGTACTTTTCGTTAATACATAACAAGTGAAAGTTTGTTGCAAGTCTGGATCTAGTATGTGTATATATACAAGTTAATGACAAGTTTCATATCCAAATATTTAGTGGTGGTGAAATTGGTGACTACTGGTGAGGAGACAATTGCATATGAAGTTTCACATGGTTTTGCTTATTCTCTAAACTATTTGAACCACAAATATGTTGAATAATAAGACTAGGCTCCTCGTCTTCTCATGATTTGTAATAAAAAGACACTCTTACAATAAAATCCATTAGATTGATGAAGATGAGGACTTTGCCCTGGACCATTTGGTTTGAAAATATGGTGACAGAGATCCAACACAGAATAGCCAAGATGATATTCAAATGCCCCCTATCTACATGAAAATGAAGGGAGAAGAGCATGGTCTTGCTTCTCACCAGCTATTGTACATTTAATGGTTTCAAATTATTTGCATTGGTGAGAAGAACCAAGTATGAGCTGATATCATAACTAATAGGCGTGATTTGGTTGTCGACTTATTATATTTCATCCACAAATTTAAGGCCCCATATCAACATGGTCAACAAGCATCAGCACATGAATTTGCCTCCGGTGGTTAGTGACAAAAGCTTCAGCTCCAACCCAAAGCCTGTCTATAGCCTTTTATATAAATAACCCCTCTTCTGTGATATTTATTCATCATCAACTACAAGCATTATCTGTTCAACCATCAAATTGTTCTAAATTTCTGGTTTACTTTCTTGTTTCCAACCTTCCAAGTAAAAACGAAAGACAGAATGACCATGCTTAGTGCTAAGAAACTCATCAAGATGGCCAGGAGATGGCAGAAGTTTGCGGCCAAGCAGAGGAAGAGGATTTCACTTCCAAGAAATGTTAGTGATGCGGATAGCTGCAGTGTGTCATCCTCTGTAGTTGAAAAAGGCCATTTTGTAGTTTATACAATTGATCAAAGGCGATTCGTGATTCCCTTGGCTTATCTTGAAAATGAGGTCATTAGGCAACTTTTAAACATGTCTGAAGAAGAATTTGGGCTTCCAAGTGGTTGTCCTATAACATTACCCTGTGATTCAGCCTTCATGGACTACATCGTTTCACTAATCAAGAAAGGCGTAGCTGCAGATTTTCACAATGCAGTGCTTCTATCAATTCCTTCACGTTGCTGTTCAACTTCTTCGTTGCACCAAGAAAGTAGTGCTCAGCAAATTCTCGTTTATTGAGTCTAGGTCAACATTCTTTTTGTACATGCTAGCTCAAAAGTAGTTTTTAGAGAAGGCGGAGATTGAAGAGTATACAATTGTAAAGCACATCATACAGATCAAATATTATTTTTATCAGAAAATTTACCATACTGATCATGGCTTTCACTTTCAATTTGGTTATGAGAAGTCAGAACAATCTTATCTTTGATTGGTACCTTTAATTTTATGTATAAATACCATTTTGTTTAGCAGAAACATTTCACTAACTGCAGCACCTCCTTGATCGAAGAAAGTCTAAATGACGTGAATGTCTTGACTATTCACACTAAGTAGATCAACTTTGCCTCGAACTCAAACTGTTTAACCTCACTTATATGAATCATATCTCTATCCATACCATTGCACCTATGGATGTTTTCATCTGAAGGTCCACATAGAATATGACGGATCCTATCTAATGACCTTCATCATATTATCATCTATATTTGCGCTACATGTGCACCCACTTTAATTTAGAGTTCGACCCTTAATCATGCAACATATAACTATGGCTCAGTCCTACACGAGTGTTGGGGTTGGCTATAAGAATCCCGATCACTTACTATGCTTCTCCATTTTTAAACTAAACACAAGCTAACATTATACCAAATAAATTAGAAGTGTAAATATTAAAAGTTCTCTATATCTTTGTTGGTATTAAGGTACAATTTCTAGTAAGAAGTTCAAAGTAAATGGGATAAGCTGCAATTCAATTTAATGAATAGATTCTAGGAATAAATGAATCAAAAGTAGCTTCTATCAAGCTTATATTATCACCACAAAATCATTAACTAGATAACTTCTTGTTCCTTGTCATTCTTATTCCGCTAAATGACTGTGCTAGTTTGCACCACAAGGTGAAGCTGTTGCAAGCAAGTGCTTAATTGCTTTGTTTAGCAGAAAAATTCTTAGTGATTAAAAGAATTCCTTAAGCAAATATTACCAAAATGGAAAATAATCAGAAGTAGACCGTTTTCTATTCATAAACAAGAAAAAATTTCCCTCCTAGCCTAGGTTCTTGTAATTTTGAACTATACAGTAAATTTTCCTCTCTTAGTATTCTCTTTCTCATTTGCAAGCGCTACTATTCTACACAATATCATTTGTTGAAGAATATTCACTATGACGATCTTCTTAAGCGGGAAGTAAGATCAACAAACACATCCTCTTTGCAAGGTATTGTAAGACCACCCATTGGATGATCAAAGCCGAACTCTTCTTCTGCTTTAGCTAACAAGTCTTGAAATAGAGGCTGGCTCAAGTATGATACTGGCACGACGAATCTCTTCTTTTGGCTCTCTCCTACATACACTGCACAATGACCTTTTGGAACACCTCCGGATGTTGAAGACCTCCTTAAGAACCGGATAGTCATTTTCTTCAAGAAATGTTTTTGTAACTCCAAATGATGAAGGCAAAGAAAGAAGAAGAATTTTGAGAATCACACAGACAATGAAAGGGTTTTTTTTGGAACTTCTACACAATTTTCTACTCAAATGCTTTGTGTGTATATATATAAGCTAATGGAAAGTTTCATACCCATATTTTTTGTGGTGAAGAGAAATTTGAGAGACAAAAGCACATGAAGTTCACATGGTTTTGCCTATTCTGTTGTTGTCAAAGTATTCACTCCATAAATTTGTGAATGAACAACACTAGGTCCACAAGAATGGATGAAGTTAATGATATGGTGACAGAGAAATGAATAAATGCATCAACCTCTTTGATTAAAACTAGGAAACTAATTATGATCTGTCATCCTTTCAAACTAGCTTCATCCACAAATTTAAGGCCCCATATAAGCAAAGCCAACAAGCATCGGCACATGGCTTTTCCTTCGGTGGTTAGTGACAAAAACTTCAACTCCAATCCAAAGCCTTTTTATATAAATAACCCCCTTTCTGTGATATGTTTTCATCATCAACAACAAGCATTATCTTTTCAGACACCAAATTGTTCTAAATTTCTTATTTCCAACCTCTCAAGAAGAAAAAAAATAGAAAGAATGACAATGCTCAGTGCGAAGAAACTCATCAAGATGGCCAGGAGATGGCAGAAGTTTGCAGCCAAGCAGAGGAAGAGGATTTCATTTCCAAGAAATGACAGTAATGCAGACGGTTGCAGTACATCCTCATCCTCTATAGTTGAAAAGGGTCATTTTGTAGTCTATACAATTGATCAAAGGAGCTATGCATTTCCCTTGACTTACCTTGAAAATGAGGTCATTACGCAACTTTTAAGCATGTCCGAAGAAGAGTTTGGTCTGCCAAGTAGTGGCCCTATTACATTACCCTGTGATTCAGCCTTCATGGACTACATCATTTCGCTAATCAAGACAGGCGTAGCTGCTGGTGATCTTCACAAAGCATTGCTTCGCTCAATTCCTTCATGTTGCGTTGCTACTTCTTTTTGTCAACAAGAAAGTAGAAATCAACAGATTCTTGTTTATTGAGTCGTGACGTCATGTTTTATAAATGTTAGCTCAAATAGATTGTATAGAAGGTGAAAATAGGCAACTGAAAGCTTTGTGTAATTACAGATTGGAATAGAGATTTTGAAGTTAATCAAAATTATTTCTTTCCATTCACTACTAAAAAAACAATGAATACCGACCTAAAAATTTCCGAACCTCAAAATGGAGGTCGGTAATTCCGACCTCCGGAGGTCGGTATTTACAAGTAGTCGGTTTTTATGCAAAATAAAGCGGGAAAACCAAATTCCGACCTCCGGAGGTCGAAATTTTTCCTGGAAAAAAATGAATTACAATAAAAATACCGACCTCATGAGGTCGGTTTTTTTATATTTAATTGAGAAAATAATACCGACATCAAGAGGTCAGTTTTTTATTGTAATTCATTTTCTGGGAAAAATTCCGACCTCTTGAGGTCGGAATTTGGTTTACCCGCAAACCGCAAACCGACCTCCGGATGTCGCTTTTAAAAGTAATTGGATGAAATAAAAATACCGACCTCCGGATGTCGCTTTAATTAATAGTAATTAGATGAAATGAAAATACCGACCTCATGAGGTCGGTATTTTCATTTCATCTAATTACTATTAATTAAAGCGACATCCGGAGGTCGGTATTTTTATTTCATCCAATTACTTTTAAAAGCGACATCCGGAGGTCGGTTTGCGGTTTGCGGGTAAACCAAATTCCGACCTCAAGAGGTCGGAATTTTTCCCAGAAAATGAATTACAATAAAAACTGACCTCTTGATGTCGGTATTATTTTCTACTTTGATTTAATTTTATTTAAATCATCTTTCGGAGGACGATTTTGTGTTATGTAATAAATTAATATTTTCAATTAACTTTAAATAAATTGTCCTCCGAATGACGGTTTTATACAAGTTAAAAAAATAATTTAATATAAAATACCAACCTCCCGATGTCAATATTATTTAATTAACATGATTACTTTATTTATCTTAAAATTTAATGTGATACCGACCTCATGACGTTGGTATTTTTTATTAAAATCTAATTACTTTCAATAAAAGCGATATCCGGAGGTCGGTTTGTTTAAAATATTCCTATTAATACTCATAATTTTGCTATTGTGCATAATACTAAAATTTCATTTTTACACCTACAATTAATTGTTCAAAAAGTGTAACAATTTTGTATACTTTTATAAATAAAAAGTTAGAATTCGTGGAATAAATAAAAAATATCTATAATCCATATTTAGAGTATGAAACTACGTTGATATGAATTAGGAGATAATTATACTTATATTTCTAGAGTAATGTACAAATTCTATCAGTCTGTCGTCTAATCATGAACTTAATATCTCATGTCATGATGTAGAGGTGAAGAGCTAACATATAATCCATTCGAGTATGAAATGCGAAAATAGTATTATTATATACGTTCGATCTAATTGAATGGATGTTAAGTGTAGTGATCACCCCCTAATTATGATGACATGTAAACGATACCCTATCGGAGTATGAAATATGTTGATTAATTATATATTCCTCGAGTAGTTTAACAAA